CGTTGCGGCGGGCCCGACGCTGGCCCGGCCCGCGCCGCAGCCCGCGGCGCCGGCGCGGCGACCGTTGGCTCGGCGCCGGCGCGGGGGGTCGGCCGCGTGCCCGACTCGCGCGCGCGCCCGCCACCCGGCCCCCGCGGCGCCCGCGTCCCGCCAGTTAGCCCGACGCCGCGACGGCTTCCGGCGGTCCGCCGTCGCACTCTTCGGCCCACTTTCCTCAGCTCCGACACGTCCCGCGCCGCTCCTACCCCCGGGACCGACGTGCAGCCATTCCACGGGCGGGTCCCCGCAGTGCCTCCCCGCTCGGCCGACGCGCACAGACCTCTCCGCGCCTCGCGCCGCCGCCCGCCCTCGGCCCGCCGCCGCCCGCCCGGCGCGACGCCCCATCGCCCGCGGCCCGCCGGCCCGACGACGGCCCCTCGCCGCCGCCCGCCCGGCCCCGCACGGCCCCATCGCCCCCGCCGCCCGCCCGGCCCCGCGAGCCCCATCGCCTCCCGCCGCCCGCCCGGCCCGCCTTCAGGCCGCCGCCCCGCCGCCGCCGGCCCGCTCGGCCGCCGCCCGCCGCCCGCCCGGCGCTCCGCCCCCGCGCCGCGCCGCCCGCCCCGCGCCGCGACGGCCCATCGGGGCTCCGCCGCCCCGCAGAGGAGGAGCCGCCCCGCCGCGGGGCCCAGGCGCGGAGAGTGGGGAGCGGCCGGTCCCCGCCGCCCGGCCGAGGCAGGTGCGGCCCCAGCCCGCCGGCGCCCCGCCGACATGCGGCCGCTCTCTTAGGATTAGGTGTTGGTCTCAGGTACAGGGGCGGGCGCGGCCTGGGGCCCCGGGACAGGCTGGGCCCTTCTCAGGACCGGAGCAACTCGCCTTCATTTCTTCTTTTTGAGACAGTCTCACTGTGCTGCCCAGGCTAGAGTGAGTGCCATGGCGTCAGCCTAACTCACAGCAACCTCTAACTCCTGGGCTCAAGCGATCCTCCTGCCTCAGCCTCCCGAGTAGCTGGGACTACAGGCATGCGCCACCACGCCCGGCTCATTTTTTCTATATATTTTTAGTTGGCCAATTATTTTCTTTCTATTTTTAGTAGAGATGGGTCTTGCTCTTGCTCAGGCTGGTTTCGAACTCCTGACCTTGAGTGATCCTCCCGCCTGGGCCTCCCAGAGAGCTAGGATGACAGGCGTGAGCCACCGGGCCCAGCTGCTGACCACTTCTTGCTACTTCTCCCAGCAGCTGATGGGGGCAAAAGGGCCAGGGCTTCCACATGTCCCACGGAACAGCGAGGCAGGACTGTTTCTCTGTGTGCGAGGTCATGAGTGGGGTGGAGTATCGGGGTGGTGGGAGAGAGGTCTGATGCTCCCACCTCGGTACCATGCTTGTAGTTTGTAATCTTTTTTTTTTTTTTTGAGACAGAGTCTCACTTTGTTGCCCAGGCTAGAGTGAGTGCCATGGAGTCATCCTAGCTCACAGCAACCTCAAACTCCTGGGCTCAAGCCATCCTCCTGCCTCAGCCTCCCGAGTAGCTGGGACTACAGGCACGCGCCACCATGACCCGCTAATTTTTCTATTTTTAGTAGAGACGGGGTCTCGCTCTTGCTCAGGTTGGTCTCGAACTCCTGAGCTCAATCTGCCCGCCTCGGCCTCCCAGTGCTAGGATTACAGGCGTGAGCCACCGCGCCCGGCCAAAAGCAATCTTTAATGACATTTAATATTATTTCTATTAAAATTTGTAACTACATTAAATAACGTAGGATTTAATAATATTTCTAATCGATTTGCACACAAAAAGTTGTTTGCTGTAGGCAGCTGTGTAATGTGTTTGCTAATAGAGCTAAAGGCCACAGGTTGCATTTGTCAGACCCCAGCCTTTCCAGATTCCTTCCATTCCGCCGATAATTCAGGCGGCGCTGGAAGGTTTGAGCGTATGACAGAAAATCTGATCAATTCCACATTAGAGAGGACGTCAGAGAGTGACGGACGCTCAGCGGAGGGACCTCCGGAGGCAGAAGGGTCGGCTACCTAACAACACGTCTGAACCCTGAAGGCATCCCGGACCGAGGAACACGACAGAAGCTGCAAAAGGTGCGCCCGGTGACAGCCTGAAGCGGCCGGCGGGGCCAGGCGGGGACGCGGCGGCGGCGGTCTCCGAGCCGGCCGGGCGGGCGGCGGGGGCGATGGGGGCCGAGGCGGGCCGGGCGGGGCGCGCAGGCGCGAGAGGGTCTGTGCGCGTCGGCGAGCGGGAAGGGCACTGCGGGGACCGCCGTGGAATGGGCTGGCACGTCGGTCGGGGTAGGAGCGGCGCGGGACCCGTGTCGGAGGCTGAGGGAAAGTGGCCGAGAGTGCGACAGGCGGAGGCCGCGGAGCCGTCGCGGCGTCGGGAAAAATACCCGGGCCATGTGGCGCATGCCTGAGTCCCAGTACTCGGAGCTGAGGACAGGAGGATGACTTGAGCCAGGAGTTTAGGTTGCCAGTGAGCTTAGGATGACTCCATGGCACTCACCTCTATCCTGGGCAACAAGTGAGACTCTGTCTCAAAAAAAAAAAAAAAGATTTACAAAATACAGACATGGTACAGGTGGAGCATCAGACCTCTCTCTCCACCACCCGATACTCACCCACTCCATGCCTCGCACACAGAGAACACAGTCCTGCCTCGCTGTTCCGCTGGACCATGTGGAAGCCCTGGCCTTTTGCCCCATCAGCTGTGCTGGGAGAAGTAGCAAGAAGTGGTCAGCAGCTGGGCCCGGTGGCTCACGCCTGTCTCCTAGCCTCCTGGGAGCCAGGCGGGAGGATCACTCAAGGTCAGGAGTTCGAAACCAGCCTGAGCAAGAGCAAGACCCATCTCTACTAAAAATAGAAAGAAAATAATGTGCCAACTAAAATATATAGAAAAAATGAGCCGGGCGTGGTGCGCATGCCTATAGTCCAGCTACTCGGAGGCTGAGGCAGGGGATCGCTTGAGCCCAGGAGTCTGAGGTTGCTTGAGTTAGGCTGACGCCATGGCACTCACTCTAGCCTGGGCAGCACGTGAGACTGTCTCAAAAAGAAGAAATGAAGGCGAGTTGCTCCGGTCCTGAGAAAGGCCCAGCCTGTCCCGGGCCCCAGGCCGCGCCGCCCTGTACCTGAGACCACACTAATTAAGAGAGCGCGCGCATGTCGGCGGGCGCCGGCGGCTGGCGCACCTGCCTGCGCCGGCGGGGACGGCCGCTCCACTCTCCGCGCCTGGCCCGCGGCGGGGCGGCTCTCCTCTGCGCGGCCCGACCTGGCGGCCCGCGCCGCAGGCCGCGGCGCCGCGCGCGGCGACCGTTGGCTCGGCGCCGCGCGGGCTCGGCCGGCGTGCCCGACTCGCGCGCCGCCCGCCACCGGACCCCCGCCGCCCCGCGTCCGCCAGTTAGCCCGACGCCGCGACGGCTCCCCGGCCTCCGCTGTCGCACTCTCGCCACTTTCCTCAGCCTCCGACACGGGTCCGCGCGCTCCCTACCCCGACCGAGTGCCAGCCCATCCACGGCGGTCCCGCAGTGCCCTTCCCGCTCGCGCGACGCGCAACAGACCCTCTCGCGCCTGCCGCCCCGCCCGGCCGCCTGGCCCGCCGCCCGCCCGGCCGCGACGGCCCCATCGCCCCGCGCCGCCGCGCGCGGACGCCCCCGATCGCCCCGCCGCCCCCGGCCCGCGACGCCCCATCGCCCGCGCCGCCGCCCGCGCGCCCCATGCTCCGCCGCCGGCGCCTCCCGCGCCCGCCCGCCCGCCCCGGCCCCGCCGCCCCGCCGCCGCCGCCCCGCCGCTCGCCGCCGCCGCCGCCCGGCCGCGACGGCCCCCTCGCTCCGCGCCCCCGCCGCCGCCGCGGCCACGCCCCTCGCCCCATCGCTCCCCCGCGCCGCCCCGGCTCGGCCCGCCCGCCCGGCCGCCCGGCCCCATCGCCCCGGCCGCGCCGCGTCGCCCATCGCCCCGCCCGCCCGCGGCCCTCGGAGACCGCCGCCGCGCGTCCCTGGCCCCGCCGGCCTTCAGGCTGTCACCGGGCGCACCTTTTGCAGCTTCTGTCGTGTCCTCGGTCCGGGATGCCTTCAGGGTTCAGACGTGTTGTTAGGTAGCCGACCCTTCTGCCTCCGGAGGGTCCTCCGCTGAGCGTCGTCACTCTCTGACGTCCTCTCTAATGTGGAATTGATCAGATTTCTGTCATACGCTCAAACCTTCCAGCGCCGCCTGAATTATCGGCGAATGGAAGGAATCTGAAAGGCTGGTCTGACAAATGCAACCTGTGGCCTTTAGCTCTATTAGCAAACACATTACACAGCTGCCTACAGCAAACAACTTTTGTGTGAAATCGATTAGAAATATTATTAATCTACGTTATTTTAATGTAGTTACAAATTTTAATAGAATAATATAAATGTCATTAAGATTGCTTTGGCCGGGGCGCGGTGGCTCACGCTGTATTCCTAGCACTGGGAGGCCGAGGCGGGCAGATTGAAGCTCAGGGTTCAGACCAACCTGAGCAAAGACGAGACCCCGTCTCTACTAAAAATAGAAAAATTAGCGGGTCATGGTGGCGCGTGCGCTGTAGTCCCAGCTACTCGGGAGGCTGAGGCAGGAGGATCGTTGAGCCCAGGAGTCTGAGGTTGCTGTGAGCAGGCTGACTCCACCGCACTCACTCTATGAGGGGCAACAGAGTGAGATCTAAAAAAAAATTGCTTTTTAAAATTTCAGCATATTATGGGGGTACAAATGTTAAGGTTATGTATAAAAAGATTGCTTTTTATCATACATATAATTTAATCCATTCATGGGCTAGAATTACTATAGAATCAACATTAACAGGAAATGAAACTAAGCATTCAATAGAAAGGCAAATGGTTTAGTTCAGACAAAAAGCAATTTTTAATTGTTTGTTTTCTTTTTTTTCCTATCAAGCATATGTGCATAGGCAAAAAATGTTTTGTTACCTTGATAAAAATTTCCATTGGTGTCTCATTTTGTTGTTTGTAACCTGCACAAAAAAGTTTTTCCTCTTTTTGAAGTCTTTAAAAGATGTGTGTTGATTAAAAGTGTGTTAATTAGAATAGCATACAACTAGTTAAACCCACATATATATGAAAAAGACACCTGATTTAATTATAAAATTCTTTACATTTTAAAGTGTCTTGCAGTATTACTTTATGATATTTTAAAATACTGAATTAAAACCAGCTTCTTAGCTTTTTTTTTTTTTTTTTTGAGACAGAGTCTCACTTTGTTGCCCAGGCTACAGTGAGTGCCGTGGCGTCAGCCTAGCTCACAGCAACCTCAATCTTCGGGCTCGGCGATCCTCCTGCCTCAGCCTCCCGAGTAGCGGGACTACAGCATACGCCACCATGCCGGCTAATTTTTTGTATAAATATTTTTAGTTGGTCAGTTAATTTCTTTCTATTTTTGGTAGAGACGGGGTCTCGCTCAGGCTGGTTTCGAACTCCTGACCTTGCAATCCGCCCGCCTCGGCCTCCCAAAGTGCTAGGATACAGGCGTGAGCCACGCGCCCGGCAGCTTCTTAGCTTTTAAAATAAAGATTTAGGCGGGCGCGGTGCTCACGCCTGTAATCCTAGCTCCTCTGGGAGGCCGAGGCGGCGATTGCTCGAGGTCAGGAGTTCGAAACCAGCCTGAGCAAGAGCGAACCCGTCTCTCACATAAATAGAAGAAACTAATTGGCCAACTATATTATATAGAAAATTAGCCAGGCATGGTGGCGCATGCCCTGTAGTCCCAGCTACTTGGGAGGCTGAGACAGAAGGATCGTTGAGCCCAGGAGTTTGAGGTTGCTGTGAGCTAGGCTGACGCCAACGGCACTCACTCTAGCCTGGCAACAAAGTGAGACTCTGTCTCAAAAAAAAAAAAATTTAAAGATGGAGAAGGCCCAGATTTCTTTACCCTTTGTTCATGCCAAAATATTACAGAGCACCTGCCCAATGCATGTATAGGTTTTGAAAATAAAGCAGGGAACAAAATTAGTCCAGACCCTTGTGGACTTGCATTCTTGTGGAGGAATGAGCAATGCACAGACTAGTTGGAATATGTCAGCGGGCATCTAAGCGTAACGGAACAGAGGAGGTCAGGGAGTGGGTGCCATTTCACAGTGGTCTGAGAAGGTCTCATTGATAAAGTGACATACAGCAGAGACCTGTAGGACTGAAGGGAGGGATCCGTTGGATATTATAGGGCAGAGCTTTCAGGCATGTTGTTGGTATGTTTGAGAATCAACCAAGAGGCCATGAGGCCTGAGCTGAGTGGAGAGCGAGTGGAGGTGGGGTTCCGGTCATATACACCCCAGTCACCAGGACTCTTCAGGAAGAGTCCACACTAGGTCCGAGCTGTTATGTGCCTCCCTTCATGGTTCCTACTCTGCACCAGACTTTGAGCTGGCGCTTAGGGAGATAGAAGCCGTAGTTTCTGCCTTCAAGGAACGGGGTGTCCTTCCTAAGTGCTGTCCATCTGAATGGCAGTTGGGCCTCTGTGAGATTCGATTAAGACTCAGTCAATTTAAGCATGGAACCCAGGTCTGGGCTGAGTTTTGGCACTAGCTTGGGCAAATCATTTGAACTTTGGGAGCATTAGTATTTCACCTGCAAAATGTTGGCTGTAGTATACCTAAAGGGCTTTTCTAATGGGGAAAGGGGGAAATCAAGTTTGCAAATCAAAGCATAGAATCATCCTTAGTACAAAATGTCTATTAAAATTGTACCAGAAAAGCACTTCAGATATCATATACATCATGTATATGTAGGGTCACTTAAATAATTTTTAATCCACAGTTTGCTTAGTTAAAAAAAATCTTTCTTCACCCAATACAGTTTTGTAACCAATGGTATTAGGAAGAAAACACATTTTATTTAGATATAGTATAGATTTATAAAATTGCTTTAACCATTGTGTTTCCTTTGTGACTTATAACCTTAACCACAAAGATCTTCAAATGAAATGCGATGTTAAACCAGAATTACAGTAGCCTGGATTTTTCGTATGCAGTATTCCTTTCTTGACTATGGTTAAAAATTTCAATTCCCTCTTATTGGTAGCCTTATTTCCCAGTGCCTGGTCAGAGCTGGACACATCAA